CAGGCTTTCCCCTGAGCATCGATGCCAATTCTCACAGTGATCTGCCTCGTGACATCCAGTTTGACAATGAGAAGGGAATTGACTTCATTCTGAACTACTCCAAAGCGTAAGTGTTTGTGAAACTTCAGGAGTTTTACAAAATCTCTCTGGGGGCAGGGTAAGGATCTGATCACCTTTTAGATTTCACTGAAATTTCAATATTGGGTTCTTTTCTCTCAGATGGATCTGCAGTTGCTCAAAGTAGGAAAGAATTGAAGATATTTTTTTAATTAAAAAAAAAAAAGACCAAATAAACAAAACAAATACTATTTTAAGCTTTTCATGCTGGCAACTCACCAAGCCTCAGCATTCTCGTTAGACATTGTTTTGGCTATAGATAGATTGAGGAGGCGCTGGTGAAAAGCACAGGAAGAAGGACTACTGGCACCTGCAACCTTTGGCTTTTTACTTAGTTCTCAGAGTCGCCCCCTAGAGATACTTTTCTCCCCGGACAGTGATAAGCCTTTCAGTCACATAGGAGAAGATGGTGTCAATACACCCTTGAGACCCTGCTGAAGAAAAGCTGCTTTGAGCAGGTCAACAGTTAACCACACCTGAGCATAATCTGCCTGGGACAACAAAGTCACTGTTCACTCACTTGTACATGTCGTGTCACTGAAAAAAACAAGAGTCCTGGACAATGGATAAGCCTGAATAATCAACCCTGCAGAGCTCTTTGAAATAGTGCAGGGTTAATGAGGCAAATAGGATTTCTCTGGCCTGAAAGTCCCCTTCTGACCTGTCTCACGTGCCCAGGTCACACCATATTGTCTCAAACATCACCCATACTATCAGATGTATGTGACTTACACTGTCTAGCAAACAGAAACTCTAACCCTGGATTCTGTTCTGAAGTTCGTCTGTGATTCAGACACCTAGCATCCATGCAGAAAGTCCTGCCCAGTAGTTACCCTCCCTTTGATCCTTGTATGATTGCTGTGTCCCTGTCAGGTGTGAAGAGACCTCTGTGAATGCCATTTCCTGTTCCAGGCGAGACAGTTGCCAGAGTTTTACTTCATAACATGCCTCCGGGTACCTCTTAACACTGACTGCCATCTACAGCAGCAGAAAGAGTACATTCTTCATTACTCCATTCTTCCTGAACTGGTGCTAGTAATGATCTTAATACTCTCAGCTGATGTTAACTTCTGATGGTGTGCAAATCACTAGTTTTTCTGACTGTAGTTTTTACATTACATAGGTCTTAAAGCACTACTATTGTAGGCTGCTGAGAACAACTCTAGAATGGAGTTTAGTAAATGCAAGAGCAGGGACCAGGCATTTGAGGTGCCTTTCAGGCTTGAGTGTAAAGGTACAGCCATCAAGTTTAATTCTGTAGTGTGACCGATCTCATATTCCACCACTGAAAATATTGTTGTGTGTAGGTATATAAAAAGGTGGAAAGGAATGGGGAAGAATATTGAGGAAGCTGGTGTTTGGTTTGTTTTTTTCAAAGATGTTTTGTTTTATTTTTAGGATGGAGAATCTTTATATTAACCGTTTCATGCACATGTTCCAGTCCTCCTGGAGTGATTTTGCAGATTTTGAGAGGATCTTTGTCAGAATCAGCAACACAATCTCTGGTGTGTTTATCAGCATTTGATCATGTTTCCATCAGAGAATTGCTAATTAGTTGTCTTGTGCATATCTGATTAGATTAGCAAGTGGCTGACCTGCACTTCTGCTCTCCCATGTTTTTTCATAAATAAACTCTAATCTCAGACTGCTGATCACAGCAGCAGTCTGCAAGTGTAAAAAGGGAAGCTATGATCTCACACGAACTAAAATTGCTAGGAATTGCTCAGTGGCATTCTCTGTCCTGAGCCATACTGGAGTTCAGCCCAGTTGGGCATCATAGTCCCTTTTGGCTTTTAGAAATGTATTTTCAGAAATGTGCAAGTCCCATAGGACAAGTTTTCATAAGTATTTTGCATCTAAACCTAGAATAGCTTAGTGGGAGTGCTTTTCAGAGAGTATTAGCTGTTAAGGCATCTTTTAAAGTTTGATTATGTGCGTCCCAGTTCAACCATCTAAATACATGGAAAATCTCCAAAAAGGCACATTTGGAAATGTTCTATGCTAAAGGCAAGTACAAGGGTGACCCTCTTGCCTCTTACACAGACCAGATCAAAGACTGTTGCCTAACATCCCAACCATGTGCTCAGTCCTGGTTGCACTGCTGCTAACAGTCCTGGCTTCTCAACCCTGTCCCAACACAGAGAGGGTACTACTGACTCAGTTCTGCAGTCATAACCTCACCTGTAGCTCCCCTCAGTCAGTTCTCATGGGCCATTTCTGTCAGTGACATGGGGCAGCTCAAGTGCTTTTCAGTGGTAAATTTTTCCCAGTGGTGGTCACTTTACCTTTCATGCAGGCATGAAAGCCCATGCTGTTAGGCCAACAGATCTGGGGATGGGTTGTAAAGAGAGAATGACCTGGGAGTTGTAACTTCCTCACCTGGTCCTGCTGCAGCCAGGACGGGTCATCAGACCACAACGTGAGGAACCATGATACTCTTGAAAACTAATGCTTGCTTGGCCTGAAAAGGCTTGTGACTTTTATTCAAAATGATACCTCTTTTCAATATGTGTCAGAATCAGTTGTAGATACTGCATTAAATGCTGTACTTGCTGTTTCATACTCAGATCTTCTTACTAGAAGACTAAATCTCTCTCTAAGAGTGTAAATTTCACTTTCGTACTCAGGGCTATTCAGTTTCTGCAGTATCTTTCGTACCGTTAAAAACTCCATTGATGTAGTATTAACATATCAAAGACAAAACACTTGTTTTCTCTAACCTTTTTAAACATGGAAATCTTAGCAGTTACTTGAAAACCCAGTAAAAAAAATGTGCATGTCATGGTGTCATTTCTGTAAAGCAGGGCTGGGAAGCCTTTGATTTGTGAGCCAGGCTCAACCTTCTACTGTCACCCATGGTTACAGTATTTTACTTTATTTTTCTGCATTATTGGATATAATAGATACACAGATACTATAAATTGGTTAGTGTGTGGTTTCTCAAATGTGTGTGAGTAGCCTGTTCAGACTCTGCAGAGGAAAATACTTTTCCCTCCTGCTCTGAAGTGTTTCTTCTCTTCAGGCTGCCTAAGAATCAGTTAACAGAAATAAGAGTAATTTCTGTGGTCTTGGGTATAAAATAAAGCACACAAGGTGGTCACAGCTAATAAAAACTGATTAAAGCAATTTGTTACATTTAATAATATTGCTTCATTAAGTACTTTTAATGCAAGAATTAGATGTGCTCTACAATTAATTTAATTGATTACATTTTCATACTCATGAGGAAAACTCCAATTCTGTGAGTTTTGTCTGAGACCAACGATTAACATTTATGTTCATGCAACTCTGCATCTGCATATTTGCAAGCCTTGGCAGAGACAGAGGTAATGGAGAAGGTGGTTGAAGGTGTTTTTTAGCCATGCAGTTTCTGTCCAAATAATTTTTTGCTTGGTGTAGACTTCAGGTACAGCTCCAGACTCATTATGCAATTGACAGCGATGATGTAAATGTCAACTTTAAGTAAACTTAGCTTTTTTCCACTCTGTTAGAAAGCACTGTAATGTTGACATTATTTAAATTATCACTGCATTCCTTCAGGTCTGTTTTTTTCGTCCTTTCACCCTTTGTAGAAAAATTGCTTTAGGAAAAAGTTCTGCCTTGTCTGAAAATAGGCAATAATGGAAAACTTCACTTGCTTCATTTTTCCCATGAAGACACCAATGGGATTTTTTACATTAATTGCTTTTTTTTCAGAATCTGAACTTGGAGGCTAAACTGGCAACATGACATTAGGAAACAGAACACTGCAATTGTGGAAAACATCCACTCGTACCACATATGTAGTAATAAAGAGATGGAGTAGCCAAGACCAGCGTTTTATTAAGAGGACATGTCAATCTGGGTTTATGTTAGCAACTGAAAAATAAACAGAGGAAAAAAAAAACACCTTAAACAAAAAATAATGAATGAGGGAGCAAGGAGTTTTACTGAGTCAAAGTCAAAATCCCTAACCAAGTGTCCCTTCACCCAGCTCCAGCTGAGAGAATTTCTCCAGCCAATTGCTCTGTATTTCCCTTCTCCTGGCCCTGCCATCTGTTTTGGACTGATCCCTCTGTACTAGATACCCTGAGATTTGAAGAGTGAGGATTTAAAAATATCATGGAAGACCTGAGAAGGTGGTCTTCGAACAGAAAGAGTATTTTTTTATAGGCCTGGAATATTTTACTCTTCATTGCTTCTGTACATGGAGAGACAAATTATTATCAATATAATTCTGCTTAAAGTGAAAAGAAAAGTTTACATTGTCCATTTAAGTAATTTTTCTTAAAATTCTATGGCACTTTTTGAATCTTTTTCTTGCTACTTTCTTTAGTCAATGTTGCAGTGCAGTATAACAAAAGGTGGGAGGAAAGGGGGAATTTTATAATGCAGTAGGATATTGATGTAATGCAAATATTGATGCTGCAGGCTTGTTTTTCCTTTAGAATATGTGATGCAGCACTGGAAGGAAGATTTTATGTTTGGGTACCAGTTCCTGAATGGATGCAATCCTGTGCTGATCCGGAGATGCACAGAGATACCCAAGAAATTGCCTGTGACTATGGATATGGTAGAATGCAGTCTAGAGAGGAACCTGACCCTGGAGGAGGAAGTGAAGGTACGGCTCTGAGTCAGGTGGCTGCAGTGATCATGAGATGGTGGAGTTCAAGATCCTCAGGGCAGTGAGAGGGCACACAGCAAGATCATTGCCTTGGACCTCGAGAGAGCTCACTATTGGACTCAGCAGCCCCGAGTCAGGTAGTTTGTGTAAAGGTGCTTGCTGTCTCAATGCATCATCCCTGACTCATCATGAGCTCAATGATTTTAAGGTTCCTTCCAAGTCAAACCATTCTATGATTCTATGAGCAAGGGTGGGCCAGTGGCCACTCATAAACACAGGATACAAGCCAGCCCCTGGTCAACACTTCCTGACCTTTGTTCTGAGTCTTGCTGCTTGCACTCCATTAAAACACATCATGCTTCTTTTTATTCCTCTCCAGCAAGGAAACATTTTCATTGTGGACTATGAGCTGCTGAATGGTGTGGATGCCAATAAAACAGACCCATGCACAATACAGTACTTGGCTGCACCCATCTGTCTGCTGTATAAGAATCTGGAGAATAAAATTGTACCCATTGCAATCCAGGTGGGCTTATTGTCAGGGTAAAGGGACACATTGTCACATTGTTTGTTGTCTCATCTTAAACATGAATGACTTGGAGTTTAGTATTCTTCTTACTTCTTTCAGCTTGGTCAAAAACCCGGGCCGGACAATCCCATATTCCTTCCTTCAGATGCCACATATGACTGGCTGCTAGCTAAAATCTGGGTTCGCTCATCTGATTTCCACATCCACCAGACAGTGACCCATCTCTTACGAACACACTTAGTCTCAGAGGTGTTCAGCATAGCTATGTTCCGGCAGCTGCCTGCTGTGCATCCCCTCTTCAAGGTTGGTTCTTGCATAAAGGGATGTATGTGGGTCAGGGTGGTTATCACATTAGTTAGACAAACCAAAAGAAAGCCCTAGTGATAGCTCAGCTGACATAGTTTGGTTGGCTGCCCGGCAAGGTGATGTACAACTAAGCCACCAGGACTTCCAGGACTTTAAACTTTTCACATGGTTGCTGTTGAATTCAGAGAATTTGATTTCTTTCATTGTTTGTTCCTTTTCACAGCTCTTGGTGCCACACATGCGGTTCACGATAGCCATCAATACCAAAGCCCGAGAACAGCTTATCTGTGAATGTGGCCTTTTTGACAAGGTAAGTAATCCCTTTTGTGAATCTTCATTATTCTTCATGGTTCCATATGTTTTTTATCCTTTAACCATCACATATTGCCTTATTTCTTGACCTTTCTACTGAAGGGCAAACATAACTAATATCACCTGAGAAACTGGCACACAGAACTGATGCCTTGTTGTTCTAAAGATGTTATCTTCTACCTCTCCTCTAAGTAGCCAGTTCAGAACTGGCCAATGTCTGTAGTGAGTCAGTATCTCATTTACTCATAACTGATATGTCTTTGGGTATGAATATAGACGTGCAAGGTAACATAATATGCACGTACATCCCTGTACATGTATGCACACAGTTAAGTCCCCAATTTTTTTAAAGCACTCAGTTATTCTTCTTGAGGCAGGGTGGCGAGCAAAAGAATTTGTGATTGCAAGAGGAAATTTGCATCAGAGAAAAACACAGAGATACGATAGATTTCTAAGTCCACAGTTTCACTGCCCAGAGCGTGTAGATCCAGCCTTTCTTCTTGAATTGCCATAAGCAGCAGATCTGCAGATTTGCTAGGATTAGAACTCAGCTTTGTCTGAGTCAGGGAAGCATACACGTATATCATGGACTGCGGTACAGCTCATAGGTCAAATCTGAACATCTAAATCTGACTGCACTGTCTTTCATGTGTACCCAGTTCTTCCTCCCTTGATTACCCCGGAAATGGCATGCTGTATCTAGGAACCGCAGCAGGTTGGCACACAGCAGTCTCTGTCACAACACAATAATAGCAAATGGGAAGTTTGGGAAGGTTTCAGAAGTCCTTCCAAAGTGGGAGCCTGTGTTTCAGAACAACTCTGTCCCCCTTACACCAGAGCAAAAATAACTCTCATGCTCCATAGTTCTTCACCCAAGGAGAAAAGAGAGATTAAATCCAGGCACCTTCCTTCTGTATTCCACTGCTGACTATGGAGACCTGGCAGGCACTCCATTCCCTTTGAACAGAAGCATAATGTCTGTACCCCATGCATGCAGGATAAGTGTATCAGTAAGACCTGCCAAAGAGGATCCTGGAGTTCCTGAATTTGTTGGTTCCAATGTAGATGAACAACCAGCTGGAGAACAGTAAGCATAAGCTGACTACGACACTAGCTACATATGATAGAAAAGCAATATTTGGGAGCTTTTGTGCAGTGATTATCTAAAGAGTTTTGCAGTGACATTTGTTATGGACAGGCTGTGTTTTTCAAATGTAATATATATAGAAACCCTGGCCAATCCTCATCAGTAGCCACCCAGCAGGATTGATCTCCTGGCTTAAATTCCAGGGTGGCTAATGGTAGCCTGCGTCCCTAAACACTTTCTCCTAAACCACTCTGAAGCAGCAGTGGGTGGTTTAGCAAGAGCCCTGTTCTAACACACTCCTGGCTGCCCTTCCTCACAAACACACTGATTCTGGAGCATAGGGCTGCAGAGAGTGCTTTGGATTAGATACTTTGATGTTTCTATACTTTATTACTGTATTCCATTATAAGCAGGTGCTGTACCTATGGAGAAAAAGTGGATATTAAGGATGATTCATGGGAAAGGTGTGAAATCTCTGAATTCAACATGCACAGTTGCAGTAGATCTCTGCAGTTCGGTATTTGTGTGGAGATGTGGTGTTTCCCTTGAAAAATAGATTCATCAGCATTTTCAATACTATTTATCTCCTACAAATTTGTAAAGTGAGTCATGGCACAAAGTGAACATAATCTCTTACTTTTCCTGTCTTGCCATTCTTCCTGCAGGCAAATGCTACCGGTGGAGGAGGACATGTACAAATGGTGCAGAAAGCAATGAAGGATCTGACTTACAGCTCCCTCTGCTTCCCTGAGGAGATCAAAGCTAAAGGGATGGAAAGCAAAGAGGATATCCCCTACTACTATTACCGAGATGATGGCATTAAAGTGTGGGAGGCTATAAAGAGGTAAGAGGCCATAGTTCTAGAAATGGCTAATAAAGTCACTGTCACAGAGACACAACTTCATTTTAGAGATCTCTGCTCACTTTACTATTCATCACAGCCCTGTGAATGGCACCTGGGCTGCTTAGTGCCTTTTCGATTCAGCCTATCTCATCTGAGGAAAAACATATAGTCAAGCACGCCCTTGAAAGACTCTGAATTCCTACTTTTTTTAGCCCTATTTTCTTGTACTTTGTATTTCAGAAGACCCTTTAAGGTATGTACTCTTCTATGGGATTTCACAGAGTTGAGAGAGTTGGAATTTAGCCCTGCAAAGGGAATTCAGTTAGCTTTTTTTTTTGCTATGCACAAACCAAGAGAGAACCCATCTCTTTGACCCAACTACGTAAGCTCGTCAAGATTTTTGTGGAGTGGAAAAGAAAGCTTACCTTGCATGAGACTTGCGTTATGAAACTAAATAAATTAGGCATCAGTAGATTTGAGCAAAACCTTTCTTAAAATGCCTTAAAATTACAAGGCCCACATTTTGTCAGGAAGGGCAGCAATTCTGAGTCAGGAAACATTCTGCAAGGCTGCTTGACCACACAAATGTGGCTCCTTTTCAGATATGAAACATTGCCTCAGAATGGAATGATTCATTTGTTTTTTATTCTACACTAGCATTTCATTTAACAAACAACATACTTTTGCATGGCATAAATTGCTTGCTACATATGCAGCTGTTTCTGGTCACATGGCCTTTGAAAAGTGTGTTCATTAAAAATCAGATCTTTTGTGTACACATGATAGAAGGTTTATAATGCAAGCATAATGTTTAAAGTGTTGGATACATCTCTGTCTTCTGTGTTTTGGCATGGGGTTATCTTGCAATATTTCCTGCAATTGTTACTCCCCATTTGAGAGAAAAGGAAGTTATAACTTTTCTGTGGTTGTTTTCTTCATGTAGTCCATTTTTTACCCCTTTTCTCTTTCCTGTGTTTTCTTTGCTGACTGGGGTATGCCTTTTCAAATACCAGATAGTACTTAGTGAACTTGATTTAGTTGACTGTCTGTGGATGTTAACCCAGCTAGAGAAAGATGTTACACTGCCTCAACCTTGTCTGAGAGATTCTTCGTAAGTGAAAAATCTGCTTTATAAATGGCGTGAGCAGTAGCCTTTTGAGTGTGTGATATCCTGACCCTTGAACCCATAGTCATGCGTGTGTCTAGTCACCATGAATCTCCTACACTACATAGGGGTGTCAGTCTGTACTCTTCTGATGAAGTGACTTCTTTATCCAGCATTGTTTCACATGTGATAGATGGCCTAGATTTAAGAAATCTAATAAAGCTGTCTCTATAGAAAGAATGAGGCTCACGTGGCAAATTTTTAAACCCCTTCTTTAATACTCATCTTCTTGTTTCTGATCTAACTGCAGTTACGTATATTCCAACCCCAAGATATTCCAACCCAAAAGGCTTATCAACACTTCATATACTAACTTATATTTGCATGGAAGAGGGTCTAAGATGCTGCCGTTGTGTAAACGAAGGATTACCTTCTACATGCATTTGGCACAGGTCCCGGGTTATGGAGGCAGGCTCATGCAGGGCAGCTTTGTAACTGCAGGTCACAGGATTTTTCTTTTCCCTTGGCTTCCTCTGGAAGCCAAAATTACTCAAACTCTTGGTGTTTATGCAGTTGTTTGTCTGCCTCAGTAACAATTCTTGACTTAGCTGGCTAATAGAAACCACATTGACAGATTTTTAAAAGTCTCCAAACTGCAACACATTTATAGCTTACTAGGGGAGAAATCTGTATTGGATAACAATTCTTAATCCTATCAGTCATCTTCCACAGTCAAATGTTTCGTCCTATGGGTTGTCAAAATATTTAGCAAGAGATTATAAGTACCTGCAGAGTTAACAGGGTATCTCAGCATACCAGTTAATATCTCAGTTAACCAGCCTTTCAGTCATGAAATGCAAATTTTCAGGAAACCACAATTACCTGGGTTTACTGCTTTCAGAACTATTCGTTATCTTAATGTTTTAAGAGCCTTTCTTCTTGAGGTGCCTGGGAAGCCTTTATAGAAAGAGGGATTTTGAGAAGAGGAACTGAACAGTGAAGTATGCAGTGTATGCAGTGGGCGTAGGAGAAAGCTCTAGACCTCTTCTTCCCCAGGAGAAGTTTCCTGGGCCACCCCCACTTTGGAGTTTTGTGAAAAGGATGTGCAGTAGGAAGGGATCAGCTATTTGAATGGTATTCAGGAGCAGCTTTGGAGTATCCCACATACAGGGGATGATGCTACTATCACAGTTTGGGAACACGTGTGGATATGCCAGAGGGAGTCTGTATTAAGTGAAGAAAAGGATGTAGATGTCATAATGGAGATCCAGGCAGGAATGAAGCCTCAAGTAAGACAATAAAGCGCACAGGACTACTCAGGGGATGCAGTGTGGTCCAGCATCTTTTTGTTGGGGAAGAAAGTAATGCTGCAGTCAGAACTGAATCAAAGTTGCCTCTGTGCATTCGCACTGCTTGTGGGAAGGAGTAGGAGAGTGTTGAGACCTGCTTTGCCTTTCTCTCTTTCTCTACGCAGCATTTATCTCCTCTACAAGATCAGTAGAAGGTCTTCAGGGAATGGCAGGCTTGCTTTCTCCTTTTTGTTTTGTTTCGCTCATTTGTTCTGATGTTTGCAGTTTTGCAGAGGATGTTGTTCACATCTACTATGAGAGTGATGAGGTGGTGTGTGAGGATGTGGAGCTCCAGGCCTTTGTCAAAGACATTTACGTCTATGGGATGAGAGGCGTGAAGTCCTCAGGTAAGATATGATGGCCCAGCCAGGCCTGCAGCTTGTTGATTCCCTCCTGACAGCAATGCTGCCTGCACAGCATGCCTTGAACTGTTGGAGTCCCTCTCCCTTCTTGGTCCAAAAATGCTCTGTTTCATGGATGAGACCCTGGATTAGGCCCTTCCTCAGGAGACAGCTTATTCCTTTGCCCCAGATTCTCACCATGAGCTTGTGCAGCTCACGTAATCTCTTTATACATTGGAGATTAGTCCTTTGATCTTGTCTGCTCATGCTTGAAGCATTAGGGGAGGGGCTGCCTGTATGTGCTGTTGGAGCCACCATGCAGACTGATAGAAATCACAGGAAGCAGCAAAACACCCTTGAATCCTCTCCTCCAAACCTTGCACCAAATAAGAACAAGTAAGAACCTCCTCAGGAGTATCTTGCTACACTTCGCATTTATTCATCATCTGTGTTATCTTGAGCTGTTCTGCTCTCTTCAAGATACTCACAATTCTTTCCAATAAATATTTTCCTTTGGTCTGTCTCTTCTCACTGCTTCTTGCCTCTTGCAAACCATTACTTGGCTGTGGGAGCTCTCACCCATAGCACGGTTCTATTCTCCCACCCCAGTTAACACTCTCCTGCCTTTCCCTAAATATATTTTTTTATTCCGCTCACATTTTGTCCAAGCAGGTTTTCAGAAATCTATACAGGTGAATGGGGATTCTTCATACTGTCCTGACTGACTTGAGACCTTCAGGCAAAACTGTGATGTTTCCTCTCATTACCAGCATGCACTGGTACATAAGAGCCTCCTGGGCTCTACCTAGCCAGACAAGTAAAGAACTGGGGAACGCTTTCTTGCTGTAATTTTTGTCTAGTTATCATCTCTTACGAAAAGCATAGAAATGGCCTGCTAGTAGGAACTTCATGCTTGACCTAAGCATCTTGATATGGGACGAGTACAGAGCCTTTCCAGGGCTACAGCTGGGGTGGGATGCTAAAAGCACAACTGGTGTCAGGTATGTCACTACAGGTGGGAAAGCTGCCAGGCCTGCAGCATCCCTGTTTCCACTGCTGCCAGGGGCTGCAGCAGAGAGCAGGAGGACTTGGCTGGGTATATAAAAAATGGAAGGAGGATAAATGGGGGAAAGGCTGCTGCACCCGGGGCTCTCCCTCTCATCTCATTCCTGCCCTGGGAAGGCTGCTCTAACTAGGAGCATGCAAAGCCCCTTTAAAGGTGGGCACAGTGTGCTTATGATGGTAGGACACAGGATGGAATGGTGGCTGGCCAGAGCTACCATGAGCCTCTTCCCCCTCTCAGGTTGAGTTCACATCTGCACCAGGTTGGTCGTGGGGATATGGAGCAGCTGGCACAGGCAGCTTGAGCAGGGGCAACTTATCCCAGGATGCTGACAGGTCTTTAGGTATCCTGGAACCTGTGGTCACATTAGGCTGGGACAGGGAGTACAGCACAGGGCTGTGATGCAGTGGGCATAGAAGAGATACAGGCTTGGGGGTGCTTTGATAGCAAAATATTTCCCTAGTCCCTGATGTTCTGGGTTCCTGTTCCCTTCTTTATTTATATAGCTCTGTTTGATTATTCCTTTTCAAAGACAGCTTTACGCAACTATTTCTGTTCCTCATTCTGTTGTTTCTCTTTCAGAAGTTCTCATTTCCTCATTCCTGC